GAAATTTCCAAACTTGAAAAAAATAATAAGATATTACAAGGTCCAAGTATGCTAGAACCAAAACTTAAAAATTGTATAATTGTTTGTCCCATCTTGAAGTTGCTACACAAAATCGTTCTATCACCATATTTCTATCATGATCTCTAACAATTACACCACCTCCAATTCTTTCATCTCCAAATCTACACTCATCAGTATTTACTTTTATCCAACTCTATGAGTTAAGAGTTAAAATTTTGTAAATTTGTTGTTAATATACCTTACTTTTATGTGAAACATTATATTTTTGCGGAGTTGGCTCCCCTCCAGTATGTCTATTGTCCAGTTAGTCCAGTGCATTGCTAATCAAATGACACCTGTCTACTCTTAAATCTTAAGGTCACAATTTATTTAATTAACACACACCCTTAAACCATGGTTAAAGGTACAAGATTTGACCAATATGGTAAGATACTAACAAGCGAAAACAATACATATACAACTAACAATTAGAATATCAAGGTATATCATAAAAGACTGTTAAAACTTTTTAATTTTAAAGTTCCATGTATACAATTCAAGTTCAATGTTGTAACAAAAGAATGAATTAATTTCAATCTCTATGGAAGACATATTAAGAGCAACAAATGCCATCTCTCGTTTTCTTTGCCTTCTAAGGACTAATGTAGTCAATCTTATGATAAGAGCATGCACAATTCTGAGCACCAATATCCTCTCCAACACAAGGAGGATTGGTCTTTCCATTTTGATACCATACTTTTCTTTGTTGAACTAGTTCACTGATGAAATTGTCAAGCATTTCTCGTGTGATGCCTGGCATAACAATAACATGTGCCATATCTTTGACACATGAAAGTTGCCAACGGCGGACAAATTCATGGTCACGAGGCCTTTCAAGTACAACTATGATGCTAAGCTCATTTAGCATGACACTTATCCCTGCTAGTTCAAGACGATCTTTCAAATATTTAGCATTGTCGAGACATCTTTTAACATCCTTTTGCAGGCCAATTTGACCTTTTGCGCTCAAGCTATACCACAAGAAAATTGGAGTCAGACCATTACGACTGCCAGAAATAGTGGCATCCACCGAAGCAATGTACTCCACATTTGTTGAGAGATTATTGATGTAGCTTTTTCTTGTTATTTGGACACCACAAGGCATTGGGCATCCTAAGAACTTGTGACCAGAAATTGTGACACTTCCAATTGGCTTCTTGAAACTAATCATCTGTTGAATTTGCACAAAGAATTATTAGAATGTTGCTCTCAAAATTACTAAAGAAATTGTAATTAATTAGAAGTAAGAAGTGAAACTCACATTGTTTATAAAAGGGGTCATAAGACCACATAGTGCAGCATCACAGTGGATGTAAAACCTATCTTGTGAATAGCCACAATCTTTGAGTGTTTCAAGAATAACATCAACATCATCAATAGCTCCTTTAAAGGTAGTCCCTATAATTAAAAGAACCATCAAAGGAAAAGTCGTAAGATGACTAAGTCCAGAAAAGAAGAAAGAAAAATGATAGAGGCTGGAGTAAATACATACCAATTGTGACATTTATAATTGCTGGTTTGTCCTTATTTTGAAGCAACTTTGCTCTTAAATCTGAATAATCCATCTCTCCATTTACTGATGTATTGATTGTTTCCAAATCCATTCTATACATTCTTGCAGCTTTGAAGATGGAGTAATGAGAGTCTTTCGATGCATATAATATCCCTTCCAGAAGTAGCTCTCTCCTACATAAGTAATGTTTAGAAATGTAAGAGCACTGAAACAATATATAAAAGTTATTATATTATGTATACTCAGGTCATTATATGAACTTACCCTAACAAAATACCATGGAGATTGCCTTCGGTGCCACCATTGGTAACATATCCCCAGTATTGATCCTTTTCAATTTCCCAAAGTTGTGCAAACCAATCCAAAACAGCCACTTCAAAGTCTTTAGAATGGAAATCGACAGTGTTTTGAAGAAAAGGATCACCACAATTGTTTAAGTGAAACTGCAAAAGTGGTGCTAAAGTTGCATAGTGATCATAACATATGTTCACTGGATAACCTAAATGATAATTGACTCGTTGTGTTAGTGTGTCCAAATAATTGACCAAGATAGTGTCGAGAGAGGGACCATCATTCTTCAATCCAGGCTCCATCACCTCAAGTTCCAAGTTCTTCCTTGGCCCTGCCCCTGGTGGTGCCACCTTTTGTTTCTTGTTCTCCCCATTCGGGAACAATCTTCGCCGAGCTAAACTTCTGGGTGTCATGGCTAAACTTCTCGGTGTCATGGGTAATGGCTCAAAATCCTGTCAAGAATCATAATCCAATTAAATAAATAAAAACATATTTTGTCTAACGAGGAGGTCGTACAAAATCGTGAGAGATAATTTCAATAATATTTGGGTAGGGACAACAAAATTTTGCATGTAACTAACATGAAGAGTACATACCATTTCAAGTGAAAGGCTACCCATTCTCGTGAAACACAAATTTATAGTATGTTTTTTGTTTGCTTAGGATAAAGGCGAAGTAATTATATTGTTGAGTGCATTTTGTTCATATGTCTTGCATACTTATATATAGGCCTTAAAAAGATGAAGGTTTTTTGTGCACCAACCACCCCTTCAATTTCCTCTCTTTTTCCTCTTTACTTTCTTCAATTGTGCATCCCACTTGCAATTTTCAAATGAACTTTTCCCTTGTGCAGATTTGACCAGGCTATTCTTTGAAAGTGACTATTCAACTTACCAGCCAATATTATGAATGGTGCGTTGGTGAGATTAATAACAAGACAAATCAAAAAAAAAAAAAAACATACAAAGACTATAAGTGACAAAATCAAACGTGTGCGTGTAAACAATTCATTCTATATATATTAAGAATTATAATGGTGCTAAAAGCAATCATTCATGTCTAACTACAACCCATAAAATTTACATAATATAAATGGTTTTGCTAATTAGAAGGCTGGATGAAATAGCTAATTACATACTACTATGAATAATGTTCATTTTTGAACATATATAAATACAACTTTAAAAGTGAAAAGTCAGTTGAAAAACAGGTTATAAGTTATTTTTTTAATTTGGAATGCAACTTTAAGTTTGATTTAAAAAATTTATAATTTAACACCGATTTTCAAATTAAATAAAAAAATTATTCCAAAAGAAATATGAATAACTTTTTTTTTGGTCAAACGAGTCCTAATATTTTTGGATTTCACTAGGATGCTACTTGGTGGATTCTTTGTCCGAATCCAAACAGAGTGGAATGTAGCTACTGCTTCACTCCATCAAATGTCAATAATTAGGAACTAAAGTAGTTAACTAAAGATAGATAATTGGTCAGTGGACAAAAATAGATGCAGTTTTCAAAGACACAATAGTCAACCTTTGAATTGGTCTATTTTAACTTTGTTCACACCAATTAAAATTTAAAGATGTTACTCATATATAAATGTGTTACTAATAGCATGTTGAATAATAAATATTTTTTCTGTCGGGAAAAAACAGTTTACGCAAAATGGGAATCTGAATTTTTTATTTGGATTGCAATTGAGCTTTCAGATTTGATTTTTTAAAAGAACGAATTTTAGATTTGGGATTAATCATATTTAGAAGTTCAGTTTTTTATAATGACTTTATATTTAGCCTGACCAATTAGACACTCGATCAAATGAATTCCTATTTAACACATACCCTAAATTTATAAATTTTTGTTAGTCTAGTTATTTGAAAATTAACTTTAGACCTATACGGACAACGTTAAAGAAAATCAAAGATTGAATATAAATTTTACATATACAAATTTGAACTACGAAACTTAACTTTTGTTATTCAAACAAAAATGTGTATGGATTTTGTCTCTTTTTGAAGTGATATGTGGTACTCAATTTGCCACTAAACACGGTGAAACCTACTACTAGCTATTATTGGTGAACGTTTGCTAATTCATACAATTGAAATTCCAAAACTTGATTTTTTTTTTTGGATATAACATGGTCACAAGTATGCTAGCTAGAACCAAAACAAAGAGCACTTAAAAATTGTATAATTGTTTGTTCCATCTTGAAGCTGCTACAAAAAATCTTTCTATCACCATATTTTTATCATGATCTCTAACAATTCTATCAGCTCCGATTATTTTATCTCCAAATCTACACCCATTAGTATTTTTTTTTATCCAACTTTATGAGTTAGAGTTAAAATTTTACTCCTGTCAATATACAATACTTTTATGTGAAACACTATTTTTGCATTACTCCATTTGATATGATTAGAGATACTACATTTCATTCCATCGATAGAGATTTTAGTCCCTCCATATTTTGCAAGCACATCTAGTTTTCCACAATTTCCAACAAATAATTATAATAATCTTTTTAATAATTAAAGAAGACAACTTGTTAATTTTAACTAACAAGCGAAAACAATACATATACAACTAACAATTAGAATATCAAGGCATTTTATTCAAATAATATCATAAAAGAGTGTTAAAACTTTATAATTTAAAAAATGTTTCATGTATACAATTCAATTTCAATGTTGTAACAAAAGGATGAACAAATAACAGCAAGAAGTGCCATCTCTATGAAAGGCATATTAACAGCAACAAAGGCCACCTCTCGTTTTCTTTGCTTTCTAAGAACTAACTAATGTAGTCAATCTTATGATAAGAGCATGCACAATTTTGAGCACCAATGTCATCTGCAACACAAGGAGCCTCTGCTTTCCCACCTTGGTACCATTGTTTTCTTTGTTGCACTAATTCACTGATGAAATTATCAATCATTTCTCGTGTGATGCCTGGCATAACAATAACATGTGCCATATCTTTGACACATGAAAGTTGCCATCGACGGACAAATTCATGATCACGGGCCTTTCAAGTACAACTATGATGCTAAGCTCATTTAACATGACACTTATTCCTTCTTGTTGAAGACGATCTTTCAAATATTTGGCATTGTCAAGACATTTTTTAACATCCTTTTGCAGGCCAATTTGACCTTTTGCGCTCAAGCTATACTATAAGAAAATTGGAGTTAAACCGTTATGACCACCAGAAATAGTGGCATCCACAGAAGCAATGTACTCCACATTTGTTGAGAGATTATTGATGTAGCTTTTTCTTGTTATTTGGACACCACAAGGCATTGGGCATCCCAAGAACTTGTGACCAGAAATTGTGACACTTCCAATTGGCTTCTTGAAACTAATCATCTGTTGAAATTGAACAAAGAATAATTAGAATGTTGCTCTGAGAATTACTAAAGAGTTTGTAGAAGTAAGAAGCAAAACTCACATTGTTTATAAAAGGGGTCATAAGACCACATAGTGCAGCATCACAATGGATGTAAAACCTATCTTGTGAATAGCCACAATCTTTGAGTGTTTCAAGAATAACATCAACATCATCAATAGCTCCTTTGAACGTAGTTCCTATAGTTAAAAAAAACCATCAAGGGAAAAGTCGTAAGATGACTAATTACTTCATAAAAGAAGAAAAGAAAAATGATAGAGGTTGAAGTAAATACATACCAATTGTGACATTTATAATTGCTGGTTTGTCCTTATTTTGAAGCAACTTTGCTCTTAAATCTGAATAATCCATCTCTCCATTTACTGATGTGTTGATTGTTTCTGAATCCATTCTGTACATTCTTGCAGCTTTGAAGACTGAGTAATGAGAGTCTTTTGATGCATATAATATTCCCTCTGGAAGTAGTTCTCTCCTACATAAATAATGTTTAGAAATGTAAGAGCACCGAAACAATATATAGAAGTTATTATATTATATAATATACTCAGGTCAATATGTGAACTTACCCTAACAAAATACCATGGAGATTGCCTTCGGTACCACCATTGGTAACATATCCCCAATATTGGTCCTTTTCAATTTCCCACAGTTGTGCAAACCAATCCAAAACTGCTACTTCGAAGTCTTTAGAATGGAAATCGACAGTGTTTTGAAGGAAAGGATCACCACAATTGTTTAAGTGAAACTGCAAAAGTGGTGCTAAAGTTGCATAGTGATCATAACATATGTTCACTGGATAACCTAAATGATAATTGACTCGTTGGGTAAGTGTGTCCAAATAATTGACCAAGATAGTGTCGAGAGAGGGACCATCATTCTTCAATCCAGGCTCCATCACCTCAAGTTCCAAGTTCTTCCTTGGCCCTGCCCCTGGTGGTGCCACCTTTTGTTTCTTGTTCTCCCCATTCGGGAACAATCTTCGCCGAGCTAAACTTCTGGGTGTCATGGCTAAACTTCTCGGTGTCATGGGTAATGGCTCAAAATCCTGTCAAGAATCATGATAATCCAATTTAAGATATAATTAAGTAAATAAAAACATATTTTTATCTATAGAGGAGGTCGTACAAAATCAGGAGACATAATTATTTCAATAATATTACAAACAAGATTTTGGAATGAACAAAGTGTGAGTTGTTTAAGTAGTGGAGATGTTTGTGCATGTAATAAACATGAAGAGTACGTACCATTTCAAGTGAGAGGCTACCCATTATATATTGTGAAACACAAATTTATAGCAAGTATTTTTTGTTTGGTTAGAATAAAGGAGAAACAATTGCTGAGTGCATTTTGTTCATATGTTTGGGATACTTATATATAGGCCTTACAAGTTGAAGGTTTTGTGCACCCCTTTAATTTCCTCTCTTTTTCCTCTTAGTTTCTTCAATTGTGTATCCCACAATTGCTTTTTCTAAAGTTCCAATTAAGTATATTATATATATTGCAAATGAACTTTTCCCCTGTGCGGTCTTGACCAAGCCATTCTTAGAAAGTGACTACTCAACTTACTAGAAAATATTATTATGAATGATGGGTAGGTGAGATTAATAACAAGACAATATTCAAATAAATTAAATTAAACGCGTGCGAGTAAAAGAAAAAGGCACATTAAAGACGTACAAAATAATACTTGGGATATTACTTTTATTTTCAAGTACACACACAATTCAATCATCTATATTCTATTATACCCCTTATTTTGCTCATTGATAAGTAAACCTCATTAACCTTTGCCAGATTACTATATATATTTTGCAAAAATACTTGAAATAATGTTCATATTTGAATATACTTAAATATAACTTCAAAAATGAAAAGTCATCTGGAAAACACATTATAAGTTGTGTTTTGAATTTGAAATACAATTTTTTTAAAGTTGAATTTAGAATTTTTATGACCAAACACTGATTTTCAAATAATGTAAAATATTCCAAAGAAATACTCCCTTTGTCCCTTTTTACTTGTCCAATTTTTACTTTTTACTTGTCATTTTTTACAAATCAAGAAAATACATTACTTGATACCAATTATACCCTCAATTTATTTAGAGAGTTAATGTTTTTGAAAAAGGTAGAACCTCTTTAATGAGTAAATTGATTTTAGAATTTTATCAATAAATAGTCATAAAAAGATAAATTTAACATGTTAATTATTATTTTCTTAATAAGTGTATCAAGTAAAAAATGAACCAGTAAATAGGGACAGAGTATAAATAATTCCTTATAGTCAAACGAGTACTAATGTATTTTGCAGTCACTATAATGCTACTGATTAGTGAGTGGATTCTTTGTCTGAATCCAAGAAAGTGGAATGTAGCTACTTCACTCCAAATGTCAATAATTAGGAACCAAAGTAGTTGGAGCTTTTCAAAGACACAAGTTAACCTTTCAATTGGTCTATTTTTAACTTTGTTCACACCAATTATAATTTTAAAATGTTATACTCATATAAATGTGTTATTAATAACGTGTTAAATATGAATACTTTTTTATTCTGTCGCAAATTTGGAATAGTTTAAGTAAAATTAAAATTTGAATTTTTTAGTTGAATTAAGGTTTAGCTTTTAGATTTAATTTTTAATAATTTTGGATTTTAGATTCGTGATTAATTGTATTCGAAAATTCATAATTTCAAGACCGCTATTAATTTTCAGGCATGCCCAAAATTTATAATTTTTTGTTAGCCTAATCATTTTAAAATCAATCAACTTTAGATATAGACTATCTACTTAGCCTTTCTCCATGATCATCTCAACCGAACTCTATTTTGCCGCTAAACACGGTGGAACCTAATTCAAATTATTATTGACGAACGCTTGCTAATTCAAACAACTGAAATTTCCTAACTTAAAAAATAAATAAATGGACATTACAACTTACAAGGTTCAAGTATGCTAGAATTCCAAAACAGAGAGCACTTAAAAATTGCATAAGAGGCAAATATTGTATTTTGCATCATAATATTGAGTTAATATATCAAAAGGTCACTCAACTTTAAGAATTTATCTAATAAAGTCATTAAACTTTATTTTGTATCAATAAAATCACTCAACTTAGTTCATTATATCAATAAAATCACTTAATAAAAATCAACTTTAAATAAATTTAACATGACAAATTAAATAAATTATTTGCATTGTCATTGTCATGTTCATCATAATTAAAATAATAAGCAAATGACTTAAAACTACTACTACATCATTATACAGAGATACCGTAAAGGGGTTTAAACCTGCATAATTACTACTGCATCGAAATCATATTTTTAGTTTATACCTGCATAATTAGGGATGTCATCAGGATATCGTACAAGATTCATTGAAAAATATATATGTAAAACTAAGATGATTTTTTATATTCATATAATAAACATTGAATAAATCTTAATTTCTTTATGTGTTTATCTCTTTTATATTAGCGAACATCAAATGAATAAAAGGTGATCTTCTTTAAAAAAGAAAAAGATATTATCTTCCGTTTAAATTGAATGAGAAAGAGAGGTTTACGGGTTACTGATTGACGGTCTGGCAAGAGAGACCATGGTAGACGTTGACGGAGAAAGTAGCAGCAAAGAATATATGGAGGCAACTCCTATCTATAAATGAAGAATTTTGACTCCTTTATTTATTATTCAATCATTAATATAGTATAAAAATAATTATTTTGTCATATCAAATTTATTTTAATAATAAATGTGGTTGAGTGATTTTATTGATGTAAATATCTAAGTTAAGTGATTTTATTGATATAAATGGCTAAGTTGAGTGATTTATTGATACAAAACAAAGTTTAATGACTTTGCTAGATAAATTCTTAAAGTTGAGGGACCTTTTGAGATATTAACTTCATAATAATCTATAAGTTATGTCTCGTGTCTAAAGAATTTATGCCTCACTAGACATAAATTTAATTTCTAAGGACAAAAATTAAAGATCAATCCATTTGAAAAACAAATAGTGTAATTAAATGGGATCGAAGTGAACTTTTGAGCCTACCAACGATCTCACTGTAAACGAACCTGGAATCATGAAGAGTGAAGACTATGCATTTTTCTCCATATATGCTAGCCAAGTAATTACATGTTGTATTGTAATTTTTCTGGAATTGTCCGTGTTTGAACCACTCACCATTTATATTAAACAAAACTTAATTTAAACATGCAACGACTATAGTCTATACTCTACAGACAGCAAAACAAATTAGTACTTGCTTTTACTTACAACATTCTAACTTCCAAGTATGTCTGTATATATATATATATATATATATTTGGACCAACAATATTTATGTGTATTCATGTACATCTCAGTAGTCAGTTCCCTTCATTCATAATCTTATTTTAATCACAAATTAACAGTAAGCTGATGTTATGCAAAGATCATAAAAGAGTGTTAACTTTTTCATTAAAAAATGTTCAGTTATGTATGTCATCCAGTAGTACAATATATCATGTATACAATTGATTTTCAATGTTGTAAATAAAAGAATGTAGTAGTAAGAGTTACAAAATGCCATCTTTTTGCAACAAATTAAATTACTGGATGATCTCGTCTTCTCTGCCTTCTAAGGACTAATGTAGTCAATCTTATGATAAGAGCATGCACAATTTTGAGTACCAATGCCATCTGCAACACAAAGAGCCTCCGCTTTTTCGTCTTTGTACCATTGTTTTCTTTGTTGCACTAATTCACTGATGAAATTGTCAAGCATTTCTCGTGTGATGCCTGGCATAACAATAACATGTGCCATATCTTTGACGCATGAAAGTTGCCAACGTCGGAAAAATTCATGGTCACGAGGCCTTTCAAGTACAACTATGATGCTAAGCTCATTCAGCATGACACTTATCCCTGCTTTTTGAAGACAATCTTTCAAATATTTAGCATTGTCGAGACATCTTTTAACATCCTTTTGTAGACCAATTTGACGTTTTGCGCTCAAGCTATACCACAAGAGAAATTGGAGTTAAACTGACTACCAGAAATAGTGGCATCCACAGAAGCTATGTACTCCACATTTGTTGAGAGATTATTGATGTAGCTTTAATAAATCCAATTTACAGCAGTAGCAATTGTCCCCAAAGGGCTAAATATTTTGGGGTTTAGGACTTAAAAGTCCAATTTGAGCGCAGCAGCAAGCAAGAAGCAGCAAATGGACTTAAAATTGTCCAAGTTCTATTTGCACTTTGCTTTTATTATATTGTGGTCTTATGATAATTGTTCTTGACTTTAACATTTATTTTCTTAACTTTGATGAATCTTTGGAGGGATTTTTATTTCATATTTTGTCGTTTGTTTACTTTAAAATTTTCAAATTTCCAAAACTCATTTTAAGTTAGGTAATTTGAGCTTATAGAATGACTTAAGAACCCTTCATGTTCTTTCATAGTTATTGAAAAGCTTTAAATCCATTTTTATGAGTTTGAACTGACTATTTAGTTCAAATTTTTTAATAGGATAAAATTGTTAAGCTTCTTAAAATAAATTAGTTGTCTTTTAATTTAACTTAGGACTTTGTATGAATGACTTAAGGATCTCTAATATTCTTTCATAGTTGTTAAACAAGGTCCTTTAATCCATATTTATGAGTTAGAATTAATTGTATGATTCAAAACATGACTATGGATAAAAGTTTTAAGTTAGGTTTATTTTTGAGATTTTACAAGTTTCAAAAGATTTTTATTTAAGTTTCAAATAAGATTTTTTTAAGCAACCCTTTTTTATATAAAATTAGCCAAATTTTTAAATCCGTCGGTCAACCGTGTGCTAGCGGATTCTCTAAGATGCCTAAACCCCTCCTTAGAGAATTATTTGAACCCTTACCCGACTCTGGTTTATTCAAATGTTTTTCTTTTAAAAATTATCCTTTTTAAATGGCTTTCTTAATTTTTCCTAAAAAATTAAGTGGCGACTTCCAAATTATGATTTTTTCCAAAACTTAACAAAATTGCCACAAAGTTGTGAAATGGTTTCGAAACCTTGGT